TGAAAGACCTCAGTGTGAGACAGGAGTCCATCAACATCCTAAAGGAGAACACAGATAGCAACCTCTTCGACCTCAGCCGCAGCAACTTCTTCCTAGAAACATCACCAAAGGCAAGGGAAGCAAGGGCAAAAATGAACTATTGGGATTTCATCAAGATAAAAGGCATTTGCACAGCAAAAGGAACAGTCAACAAAACCAAAAGACAACCGACAGAATGGGAGAAAATATTTGCAAATGACATATCAGATAAAGGGCTAGTATCAAAATCTATAAAGAACATATCAAACTCAACACCCAAAGAACAAATGATCCAATCAAGAATCGGGCAGAAGACATGAACAGACATTTTTCCAAAGAAGACATCCAAACGGCCAACAGACACGTGAAAAAGTGCTCAACATCGCTCAGCATCAGGGAAATCGAAATCAAAACCTCAGTGAGATACCACCTCACACCCGTCAGAATGGCTAAAATTAACAAGTCAGGAAACGACAGATGTTGGCGAGGATGCGGAGAAAGGGGAACCCTCCTACATTGTTGGTGGGAATGCAAGCTGGTGCAGCCACTCTGGAAAACAGTATGGAGGTTCCTAAAAAAGTTGAAAATAGAGCTACCATACAATCCAGCAATTGCACTACTGGGTGTTTACCCCAAAGGTACAAATGTATGGATCCGAAGGGGTACATGCACCCCAATGTTTATAGCAGCAATGTCCACAATAGCCAAACTGTGGAAAGAGCCCAGATGTCCATTGGCAGATGAATGGATAAAGAAGATGTGGTATATATATATATAATGGAATATTATGCAGCCATCAAAAGGAATGAAATCTTGCCTTTTACAACGACGTTGATGCAACTGGAGAGTGTTATGCTGAGCGAAATAAGTCAATCAGAGAAAAAAATGTATCATATGACCTCACTGATATGAGTAATTCTTAATCTCAGGAAATAAACTGAGGGTTGCTGGAGTGGTGGGGGGCGGGAAGGTTGGGTAGGCTGGGTGATAGACATTGGGGAGGGTATGTGCTGTGGTGAGTGCTGTGAATTGTGCATGACTGTTGAATCACAGATCTGTACCTCTGAAACAAATAATACAATATATGTTAAAAATAAAAAAAGAAGAAGAAGAAGAAGAAGATAGCAGGAGGGGAAGAATGAAGGGGGGGAAATCGGAGGGGGAAATGAACCATGAGAGATGATGGACTCTGAACAAAAAATTGAGGGTTCTAGAGGGGAGGGTGGTAAGAGGATGGGTTATCCTGGTGATGGGTATTAAAGAGGGCACGTTCTGCATGGAGCACTGGGTGTTATATGCAAATAATGAATGATGGAACACTACATCAAAAACTAATGATGTACTGTATGGTGATTAACATAACATAATAATAAAAAAATTTTTAATAATACAATGATTGTGGAGGAAGCGTTCCTCTGACTAATAGAAATTCTGATGTTTGAATCTTAAGATCATGATATAGTAACCAAAATTTGTAACATTAATTATAAATGAAAAATCTTTAGGTCCCTTTCTCTCTCTCTTTTTTTTAAAGATTTTATTCACTTGAGACACAGAGATACAGAGAGAGAGAGAGAGCATGAGCAGGGAGAGAGGCAGAGGGAGAAGCAGGCTTCCCACTGAGCCAGGAGCCTGACATGGGGCTTGATCCCAGGACCCCAGGACCATGACCCGAGCCAAAGGCAGATGCTCAACCATCTGTTCCACCCAGGCGCCCCACTCTTTCTCTCTCTTTCTCTCTCTCTCTCTCTCTCTCCAGGTAGAACAGTTCTATATCTCAGTGTAGATTCAGTATATCTAGGGAGGAAGTGAGTTCAGGGTTTTTCCAGACTGCCATCTTGGACCTCATCCTCTCTCTCTCTTTTTTCTCTCTCTCTGTCTCATGCACAAACACATACACAGACACTCATATACACACATATATGGAATCAAGTAAAATTTTTATTTACCTTATTTACTCCACACATAGTGCCATTGTTCATTTGGGTAATATCCACACCTGTTTCATTTCTTAAAAACGCTGACAAACAGATATGGCCTCCAAGGTAAGTATATTGAACATCATAATTTGTTATTTTTACTATTTCTGAATGTGTCCAGTGACAAACTATCTTTCCACAAAGGATACTCCTGTCAATAGAAGGCAGAAAAAAAGCTCATATGTCACTTAGAGACACAATATCTTAAGTAAATAACAGTTCAAAATATGAAAATAATTCAAAATGTTACTCAGGTCATAACATCAAAGTTATTCAGAACATACATCATCTTATGAAGTATAACAAATAAGTTCATCTGTATATCCTAGGTCCATCTCTCATTTGTATGAACTTATTTTTGCACACACACACACATGCATTTGAAAAAGTATAGTTATCTAAATACACACCCAAACTTACAACCCGTTTTTCCACAGTTTCCAAAATTATCTCCTTGAAAATTCACTTCTTGTGAACATAGATAAGTAGAAACTTTAGCAACTGAAAATATAAAGTTACAATTACTCATCTTAAAAAAAAATATATAGGGACATCTAGACTATAGCAATGCCCAGTGAGTGTCATCTAGTATAAATTTTTAGTGTCATCTACTGGCTATAAAAGGAGAAACACTAAAAACTACCCACTTGAGAATAGGAAAATTATATCATAGGCAGAAATGATTTAAGAAAGCAGTCATTTGCTCTCATCTACAATTCTAATATTCTATTCTTCTTTGCACCAATCACCTGAAATTTCATTATTACCTTCTTTTTTTTTCCTTTTTGTCCTGTACTTATTAGGTCTATTTTGCCTCTTTACATAGTTCAAAGTCACATCGATTCACAATTTCATTTTCAAATTTGAATTTACACGAACAGTACCTTTTATGGTGGCTATTGGATAGATTACTGACTTTAGAAAAATACAGTTTGAAAATGAACCCCAGAAAAAAAAGATACAACTATTACATTTTCCAAATAATTTTTCACACTGTATATCCGGATCTTGGCATATTCCATTAAAGCAATAGGCAGTCTTATTATTGCATGGTTCTAAATCAGCAGATTTCACATCAGGTACACAAAATACAGATGATCCATTGCAAAATTCTGGAAAATCACATGGATCTGTCATTTTCCTACATAAACGTCCTCTTTCAGCTATCTGTGAGACAAAAAAAATCAGTATTTTTTTAACAAATTTTTTAACCAAAAATGTAAAACACTTAAACAAGAGCAATGTATTTCTGTCATTTCCATTATTATTACATTTTTAACTAAAGTCAAATTATGAATTTGCTTAAAAGCCCCAGTGAAATGGATTGGAAAAAAAAAACAAATGTCCATCAATGGATGACTAGATTAACAAATCGTGGTATATTCGTTCAATGGAGTATTTTCAGCCATTTAAAGGAGCACTGATACATATGCTACAAGGTGGATGAACCTTCAACACTCTGTTAAGTGAAGAAAGTCAGACACAAAAGGTCACATATTCTATGCTTCTACTTACATGAAATATCCAGAACAGTTTACTCCAGACGGAACACAAGTTGGTGGTTGCCAGGGACTGAGGGGAAGGGAGAAAGGAGAACAAGGGCTAAAGGGCTGGGAGTCTCCTGTTTGAGTGAGGAACATGTTTTGGAACTAGATAGAGGTGGCAGTTGCACAACATTGTGAACGTACTGAATGCCACTAAATTGTTCACCTGAAAATGGCAAATGTTATGGTACATGATTTTCACCTTAATTTTTTAAAGGCTCCAGCAAATGTAGGAATTATCCCTGTGTGTAAGGGAAGGGGCAAGGGACTGTGTAGAAAAGTCTTATTGCTCAATCCTGCTGATTTGGAGACAAAGGCCAAGATGAGAGCTCTGGTGAAGGGAAGAGCAACAAGGTTTATAGCTAAGTGGCAGAAACTCTAGGGTTGCCTCTATGTTCATGCTCCTTGAAGACAAGTACCACTGGCTTTAGTTACTAGCACATAGAGTGAAAAAGAACACAGAGAACAAAGTAGAATGATGTTAGAAGAGATTTCATTGACAGAGAACCTGGCAAATCTGAAATCTGGCAATCAAGATCTCTAATTAATCAGCTTCTATAATTGTCGTTGACTCCTGAAAATGACACAGAAAAGGCAAGATAATACAATGAAGTGATCCCCAAAAGACAAATCTTACTCAGTCTCCCTTCCAGTGTGGCTATAAAGGAAAATTGAATGGAAAACGTCCTGAGGGAAGTCAAGGATTCAATCTACTTCTGGGACCAGGAGTCCTTGCAAAGTTAAACTTCAGTATTAGACATGCTACATGTTGTTGACTATTCTACATGGACTCCTTTTCTGCTGTTCTCAAAATGAGATTATTATTATTATTGTTTGTTTATTCAAACATTGTATGTCAACTTTGTGTTGGGTGGTTTATTTGTAATTTTGTCATAAGTTTCCTGATCATGAAGAGCTAAATTCAGGTATGACCAAGAGGAATTCATAGTGTCCAAATAATCTGGAATTAATATTGAATAACAACGGGTGGGGCCAAAGTAGATTAAAAACAATGCAATGAAAGGGAAAGCTAAGGAGGTTGGACATCCTCAGAACTTGGGGAAATCAACTATGTGTGAGTCAGGTATATAAAGTGACATATTTGAAAGCTGTGTAAAAAAGCAGTTTAAAAAACTCTATAAAAATGAACACATAAGAACACAAAAAATTATGGAAAGTAATCATTTAGTATTTTGAAAGCTTACCAGACAAGTTTTTCTATCACAGCATGGTCCATTGCCACACTCTGCATATCCAATCAGAGTACAATCATTAGGATTACAACATTTTTTATGACTGCATTCCTACAAGCAAATATAAGAGTTAAGTAATAGGAATTTGCAATCAAATAAATAATTGTATTTATTGTCAAAATATACAAAATATTTCACCAAGTTAATTACTTGGGGAATACTTTTTTATTTTACCAAACCTCCTCAAGATATCATCTTGGGAGTGCGAAATCTGCTGCTGCTGAGGAGAGGAGCGTCAACAGCAGCACCATGGTAGCTCAACAGAAGAACCTTGAAGGCTATGTGGGATTTGCAAATCTCCCAAATCAAGTATACAGAAAATCAGTGAAGAGAGGGTTTGAATTCACACTTATGGTTGTGGGTGAATCTGGACTCGGGAAGTCAACATTAATCAACTCATTATTCCTCACATATTTGTATTCTCCAGAGTATCCAGGTCCATCCCATAGAATAAAAAAGACTGTACAGGTGGAACAATCCAAAGTTTTAATCAAAGAAGGTGGTGTTCAGTTGCTGCTCACAACAGTTGATACCCCAGGATTTGGAGATGCGGTGGATAATAGTAATTGCTGGCAGCCTGTTATTGACTACATTGATAGTAAATTTGAGGACTACCTAAATGCAGAATCTCGAGTGAACAGACGTCAGATGCCTGACAACAGGGTGCAGTGTTGCTTATACTTCATTGCTCCTTCAGGACATGGACTTAAACCATTGGATATTGAGTTTATGAAGCGTTTGCATGAAAAAGTGAATATCATTCCACTTATTGCCAAAGCAGACACACTCACTCCAGAGGAGTGCCAACAGTTTAAAAAACAGATAATGAAAGAAATCCAAGAACATAAAATTAAAATATATGAATTTCCAGAGACAGATGATGAAGAAGAAAATAAGCTTGTTAAAAAGATAAAGGACCGTTTACCTCTCGCTGTGGTAGGTAGTAATACTATCATTGAAGTTAATGGCAAAAGGGTCAGAGGAAGGCAGTATCCTTGGGGTGTTGCTGAAGTTGAAAATGGTGAACATTGTGATTTTACAATTCTAAGAAATATGTTGATAAGAACACACATGCAGGACTTGAAAGATGTCACTAATAATGTACACTATGAGAACTACCGAAGCAGAAAACTGGCAGCTGTGACTTATAATGGAGTTGATAATAACAAGAATAAAGGGCAGCTTACCAAGAGCCCTCTTGCACAAATGGAAGAAGAAAGAAGGGAGCATGTAGCTAAGATGAAGAAGATGGAGATGGAGATGGAGCTGGTGTTTGAGATGAAGGTCAAAGAAAAAGTTCAAAAACTGAAGGATTCAGAAGCTGAGCTCCAAAGGCGCCATGAGCAAATGAAAAAGAATTTGGAAGCACAGCACAAAGAATTAGAGGAAAAACGTCGTCAGTTTGAAGATGAGAAAGCAAACTGGGAAGCCCAACAACGTATTTTAGAACAACAGAACTCTTCCAGAACCTTGGAAAAGAACAAGAAGAAAGGGAAGATCTTTTAAACCCTCTATTGACCACCAGTTACATATTAGTTGCCAATATGCCAGCTTGGACATCAGTGTTTGTTGGATCCGTTTGACCAATTTGCACCAGTTTTATCCTTAATGATGGATTTAACAGCATGACAAAAATTATTATTATTTTTTTGTTCTTGATGGAGAATAAGATGCCTTGAATTGTCTAGGGTGTTGTGTACTTAGAAACTAACAGCTCTAAGTACCTTTCCTACTTTTTTTTTTTTTATTAAACAGATGTCTTCAATTTAATGCAAGAAAACATTTTACTGTTGTACAATCATGTTCTGGTGGTTTGATTGTTTACAGGATATTCCAAAATAAAAGGACTCTGGAAGGTTTTCATTGAGGATAAATTGCCATAATATGATGCAAACTATGCTTCTCTATGATAATTATAATAAAGATTCCATTCAGTGCAGCGTATACAATAATGTAATTTAGTCTAACACAGTTGACCCTATTTTTTGACACTTCCATTGTTTAAAAATACACATGGAAAAAAAATCCTATATGCTTACAATGCACCTAGAGCTTTTTTATAACAACCTTCTTTTGTTTATTTGTTTGTTTTGGATTCTTTAAATATATGTTATTCTCATTTAGTGCCCTCTTTAGCCGGAATCTCATTACTGCTTCATTTTTGTAATAACATTTTATTTAGGTATTTTCCATATATTGGTCCTACTAAAATAGAATATAGCATCTTTCATATGGTAGGAACCAACAAGGAAACTTTCCTTTAATTCCCGTTTTACACTTTATGGTAAGTAGCAGGGGGAAAAATGCATTTATAGATCATTTCTAGGCAAAATTGTGAAGCTAACGACCAACGTATTTCTACCTATGTGCCGTCTATTTTACTAGAAATGGGAATCATGGCCTCTTGAAAAGAAAAAAAGTCACCGTTCTGCATTTAGCTGTATTCATATATTGCATTTCTGTATTTTTTTTGTTTGTATTGTAAAAAAATTCACATAATAAACAATGTTGTGATGTAAAAAAAAAAGATATCATCTTGGGAGTATATAACAATTTATGGATGTGACAGAATTCTAAATTATAACATTTTATTAATGTAAATATTGTTTCAAAGAAAAAAGTTTGACATTATATTTTTAGCTCTAAGATCTTACATTAAACATTAATTCTAGAAATTATTAGATAAGAGAGTACAAAAATAATAATGACTCTTTATAATATACTATTTTCTTCTTCCTATATAGTAAAAGAGTGATGTTTCACAAGACTGATCATAATATTTAAAAATTAGTAAAGTGGATAGGCACAAGTAACTGTTTATATTTGTTTCAATATTATTTTTATTACTCATATGCTGAAAATTTTACATATCTGCACATTATGATTTATTTTATATTTTTGTGTCTATATTTCTGTTGATGAATTCCTCTGTTTATTTCCTTTATTTATAAGCATTATATTAATGATATTAATTCCTAGCCACCAACATATTATCACTACATTTTAAAATTTGTCATGACAATTTACTTTTGATTTTTTTTTCTGGTAACTTCTTGATATTGTGATATTTTGAAATGGTAGAGTACCATAATCTTTTCTTTTTCTGGTTTTGTTCTTTAAGTTTATGGATAAAACTTTACTCCACCCTGACCCCACTAAATATGTGAGTTTATAGTATGTGTGTAAAATGTAAGTGTTATACATATGAATTCATTTATTTTCATTTTATGTTGAATATTTTTGAGTATAGCTCACAGAATGTTACACTAGTTTCAGATGTACAACTTTGTGCTTTGACAAGTTTATACATTATGCTAGGTCAATAAGTGTAGTCCCCATACGTCATTCTAACAATATAATTGACTATATTCCTTATGCTGTGCCTTTTATTCCTGTAACTTATTCATTCCATAACTGGAAACCTGTATCTTTCTTTCCCCTTCACCCATTTTGTCCAGCCATTCACCATCCACCCCTGGGAACCATCAGTTTGTTCTCCGTATTTATAGGTCTGATTTTGCTTTTTGTTTGTTTATATATTTGTCTTTTTTTTTTTTAGATTCCATTTATGAGTGCAATCATATGGCATTTGTCTTTCTCAGTCTGACTGATTTCACTTAGAAAAATGCCCTCTAGGTATATCTATGTTGTCTCAAATGACAGAATCTCAACCTTTTCTACAACCACAGAATATCCCATTGTGTATGCATGTGTGTGTATACACCATTTTTCTTTATCCATTCATGCATTGATGGACACTTAAATAGCTTCCATATCTTGGCTATTGTAAATAATGTTGTGATAAATGTAGAGGTGCGTGTATCTTTTTGCATTAGTGTTTTTGTTTTCTTTGGGTAAATAACAGTAGTGGAATTATTGGATCATATGAATTTCATTTTCAATTTTTCGAGGAACCTCCATACTGTATTTCACAGTGGCTGCACCAATTTAAATTCCCACCAACAGTGTACAAGTGTTCCTTTTTCTCCACATCCTCACCAATACTTGTTATTTCTTGTTCTTTTGATTGTTACCCATTCTTTCTAGTGTAAGGTGATATGTCACTGTGACTTGATTTGCATTTCCCTGATGATTAGTGATGTTGAACAACTTTTCATGTGTCCATTGGCCATCTGAATATCTTCTTTGGAAAAATGTCTATTCAACTTTAAATCAGATTGTTTATTTTTTGGTATTTATATAAATTCTATATATTTTTTGGATACTAACCCCTTATCAGATATATCATTTGCAAATATCTTGTCCTATTGAATAGGTTGCCTTTTTGTTTTCTTTTTTCTTTATTTTAATTCCAGTATAGTTAACATGCAGTGTTATATTAGTTTCAGATTCCATACATCACCCAGTACTCATCATGACAAGGGCACTCCTTAATCCCCATCACCTATTTAACTCATCCCCCCCCCACCTCCCCTCTGGTAAACACCAGTTTCTTCCATATAGTTAAGAGTCTGTTTCTTGGTTTGCAAGGATGTGGAGAAAGGGGAACACTTTGTACTGTTGGTAGCAATGCAAACTGGTGCAGCCATGCTGGAAAACAGTATGGTGGTTCTTCAAAAAGTTAAAAACAGAACTAGCCCACAACCCAGCAATTATATTATGAGATATTTACCCAAAGAATACAAAAATACTAATTCCAAAAGATTCATGCACCCAATATTAATAGCAGCATTATCTACAATAGCCAAATTATAGAAGCAGCCCAAGTATCCATTGATTTATGAATAGATTAAAGATGTGTGGCATATATTTATGATGGAATATTACTAAGTCATAAAAAAGAATTAATTTTGCCAATTGCAATGACATGGATGGATCTAGAGTATTATGCTAAGCGAAATATGTCAGAGAAAGAAAAGTATGATTTTGCTTATTTGTGGAATTTAAGAAACAAAACAAATGAGCAAAGGGGAAAAAAAGAGAGAAAGAGTGAGGCAAACCAAGAGATAGACTCTTAACTATAGAGAACAAACTGATAGTTACCAGAAGGGAGGTGGGTAGGGTGATGTGTTAAATAGGTGGTGGGGTTAAGGACTGCACTTATTTTGATGAGCACCAGGTGACGTATAAAATTGTTGAATCATTATATTCTACACCTGAAACTAATATTATTCTATGTGTTAACTGGAATTTAAATTTTTTTAAAAAGTCTATTTTATCTGATGCAAATATTGCTACTCTGGGTTTCTTCTACATTTCATTTGCATGATTAGTTTTCTCTATCCCCTCACTTTCCAGTCTACAGGTATCTTTAGGTCTGAAATGAGTCCCTTGTAGGCAGCATGTAGATGGGTCTTTTTTTATCCACTCTGACACCCTCTGTCTCTTGGAGTGTTTAGTCCACTTATATTCAAAGTAATTATTTTGATAGGTATGTATTTATTGCCATTTTGTTACTTCATTTATAGTTGTTTTGTTAGCTTTTCTCTGATCTTTTCTTCTCTTTATCTCTTCCATGGCTTGTTAGTTTTCTTTAGTGATATACTTGAATACCTTACTCTATTTTTTGCATATCTGTTACTGTTTTTTGATTTGTAGTTACTATTCAATTTATGTATAACATCTTCTGCATATAGCAGTCTGTATTAAACTGATGGTCACTTAATTTTGAACTCATTCTTTACTCCTCTCCCCTTCACATTTCAGATATTTGGTATCATATTTTATATCCTCTTATTTTATGCATACCTTGATTGACTTTTACAGAAACACTTATTTTTACTGCTTTTGTATTTTTTATTTTTCATATTCTTACTTATAGTCTTTCCTTTCCATTCAAAGGGACCTCTTTAATATTTATTTTAGAGCTAGTTCTGTGGTTATGAAATCCTTTAGTTTTGATTGTCTGAGAAACGACCTCTCCTTCTATTCTGAATGACAGCCTTACTGGATAAGAGTATTCTTGGATACAGATTTTTCCCTCTGCACTTTGAATACATCATGCCACTCCCTTCTGGAAAATCACCTTATACCTTATGAGGTTTCCTTTATATGCAACTATCTTTAATTCTCTTATAACTTTTAAAATTCTTTATCACTATTTTTTGCCATTTTAATTACTATGTGTCTTGGTGTGGACCTCTTTGGGTTGAATTTGTCAAGGGCTCTCTGTGCCTCCTGAAACAGGATGTCTGTCTCCCTCCCCAGATTTAGGAAGTTTTCAGCTATTATTTTTTCAAGTACATTTTCAGCCCCCCTTTTTTTCTCTTCTCCTTCCAGGATTCCTAAAATGTGAATGTGATTATGCTTAATGGAGTCACTGAGTTATCTAGGTGTAGTCTCATTATGCCGTATTTGTTTGTCTCTCCCTTGTTCAGCTTGATTGCTTTCCATTCTATCCTCTAAGTCACTGATACATTCCTCTGCTTCCTGTAACCTACTATTCAATCCATCCGTTGTATTTTTAATTTCATTTATTGAGTTCTTCATCTCTGGTATGTTATTTTTATCTCTTTGTCGAGGGTCTCACTGACATCTTCCACTTTTTTCTGAAGCCCAGTGAGTATCTTTATAATTATTAAATTCTCTATCAGGCATATTATTTCTATTCCACTTAGATCGCCCGCTGTGATTTTGCCATGTTCTTTCATTTGGGACAAATTCTTCTATCTCATTTTGTCTACCTCTCCATTTCTATGTGTTAGGAAAGTCATTTATATCCTTTGCATCTGTGATTTTGCCATGTTCTTTCATTTGGGACAAGTTCTTCTATCTCATTTTGTCTACCTCTCCGTTTCTGTGAGTTAGGAAAGTCATTTATATCCTTTGCTCTTAAAAGTAGTGGCTTTATGAAGAACAGGTCCTGTAGTGCCCTGCAGTGCAGTGTCCTCTGTTCATCAGAACCTGGCACTTCAGAAGAGTCTCCTATGTGTGTTGCTTCTGTCCTGCTATTGTGTCT